GAAGTTATCCAAGTGTTTGTGGATTTCGATGGCTTTCCTGTGCATTCTCTCCTCCCTATCCAGGGTCTCACAGTATATATAGACCTATTCTCTTCCATTCCAGTTTTCTCTGAAGATGCCAGCCACAGATGCTGGCGAAACATCAGAAAGAAACTCTTCTAGAACATGGCCACACAGCCCAAAAAACCCACAAAAAAAAGGGAAAAACATTTTAGGAAAGAAGAAAACTTTGGTGGAGGTAGAGTTTTGGTGAAATAGGCATAGAAGGCTGGGATATAATGAAAGCAAAGGTAGAATAAAGGTGGGGATAAGGCTGTAAAAAAAAAGAATCTGTGTTGGATTAGGAAGAGGATAAAAATGTCTCACCTTTGCTACTATTGAGATGCATACATGAAGTTGCTTGTCATTATACAATCTTTAAAAAATTAAGTGAATGATATACCAAAAAATGATATACTTTTATAAAGCTCTGGAAGTGTCTCTTGTTGTTGCTGTTGCTGCTGCTATTGTTGTTGTGTGCTTTCACGTCATTTCTGTGTTATGGCGAGCCTAAGGTGAAGTTATCATGGGGTTTATGGGCTGAGAGTGTGTGATGTGCCCAAGGTCACCCAGTAAGTTTCTGTGCCTGAGCAGGGAATCGAACCCTGATCTCCAGAGTCGTAGTCCAATGCTCAAAGCACTACACCATGCTGGATCTCCAAGTGTCTCTAAGGTATCAGTATTTACATTGCTACAAACATGCAGGTTAGAGAGACAATAAATGCCCATTGCAATAGGATGGCAGAAGAAGGCTATCTCAAAAGTAAAATACCTGCTCAAACTTGGGACTCAGCCCAAACTGAGCCTGAGATAAAGTACAAAATACAACACCAAGCACATTTCTGATAGAGGACCATGATATATTTTCAAATTTTCCAAACCTGACATCCAATGTTACACTGAACAGAAGTTGATATGAACAGTAACAACCATCTCTGTCACTTATGAATTAAGATTTTCCCCCCTGACACTATTTTCACATCTTATTTAAGCTAGACTTTTAAAGAGAACTTAAGCATAGCTAGGTTCAAGATCAAAAATATTTAATAAGGAATACATAGAATATTGTTAGAAAAGGATGCCTCCTCAAGACATGCAACCAGGGAAAGTCATGTACAGAGAATTATGTAAAGTTTGTTAGAAACATTACACTTTACCTCTTGCAAACTGACTGAGCATGCTGACACTGAGAAATTTCCCCACAAGGAATGAACTGCCTTACCTCTTATCTGCTAGATCTGTTTTGTTTCCTACTAGCATTATGATGACATCGCCACCTCTTTCCGTTCTAACATCATCAATCCATTTTGTGGTTTGTTGGAATGAGTTTACATCTGGGAAGGAAAAGGAAACAATATGGAAAAGGTCACTTTGCAGTACTCAGAACTTTACACAAAGCATTCACATCTGCTGAACTGTGTTCTCAATACCAGTCATCTATGTCAGAGATTTATCAAGATTTTAGTTCCCCAACTACTCTGATAAGCCTGTCATCCAGCTGAAAGAAGGCATGAGCTGATGGAAAATGTCTTTTTCTAGCACAAAGAAAACAGCTACAGTACAACTATTATGGTGCTGTGTTTTCTTTAAATACTGAGTAAGGGCTCCAAACAGCAGAATTCCCCACATTACAGAAAACACCCTCAAAAAAGGTGGTCTACATCCCCTTAGCATATGGACTGGAACTTCTAAAGAAAAAACAGGAACAGAAACCATTATTGATTCACTGCACCTGAATTCTTGGGTTGAGCATTAGGAAAAATTAAGAAAAAGTAGCATTTGACTCACTGCTGAGGTGAATAAAATGGAGGTGTGTGGAGGGGGTCAGCATTCAATATACATAGCATAAACAAGACTGGCAAGCAGCGTGTCTCCCTGTAGGGAGGCCAGTCATAAATCCCCCAAAGTACTGCTACCTGCTTTGCAACTTGTAATTCTTATTTAAACACAATTCTGTTTTTTCTTCTTCTTTGAAAAAAAAATCATCATAACTCTTCTGTAGATATGCCTTCCATCCTGCCACCCCCTCCAATAATTTCCTCTGGAGTAACTGAGCTATAGAATGTATATAAACTGAAACTACATTGTGAACAAAACAGTTTCTGTGCTTGGTGTTGTTTTTTTATTTTCACAAAAGCTTTATGCAAGGCCTCTCCTCCTCCACCCTCACCCCCAAAATCCTTGAGGGATTTTTTTTATTTTGTGGAGGCCACAGTAATGAGCTGCAAGAAAAAAAGTAGATGGGAAGCCACCTCCACAGTACCTGAACAGAGTATTTGCCACTGAGTAGAGGGAAGCAAGATGACAGCCCTTGGGATGTAGGAATGAGGCTTATTTGTATCAAGCCTCTTTAAGGATAGATTACTTCACTATATTTTTGTTTACCAAGAACTGTGCTATCACAGGAGCTTGCAACAACCGAATCCCAATCCAAGTAGCAATTAAAATGCAAGACACAAAGATGCTGGAAAGAGAAGGTGCTCAGCAGGTGCACAGACTTGACACAATATTTCTTGGTGAGGTTTTAGGCCAAGGCAGTAGCACAAATGGAACCATTCTGTGTCCTGCAAAATAAAACTCAGGCCTCCCAAGCTGGGAGCATGAAAGACACTATGTGTTGCAATGACTTCTGCTGCAGAGTTGATTTATAAACTAGTTTATTTTATAGGTGGGCAACTACAGCAGGTTTGAGGGCCAGTGTTTGGTCCTGGGACCCTCCAAGGGCCTCAGCATTGTGCAAATGTGCCAGAAAAAAACAAAACAACAAAAACAACAACAACAACAGGAGTGGTAGTACTGAAGTAGTACTGGATGGAGAGAGGACTTTAAACTGCAGCTAGGGACCTGAAACCTATTTAAAGATGAAAATCCCCACTCCTGGAAGCCAGACAAGAGTGGTCCAGAAAGACTGAATAAGTCAAGAGCTTCAAAAAATATCTTGGGGGATGTGCATGGCCCCGCATACCCACTTATCCCACCCTGGCCTATTAGTAGACGCTGTTATCTGAGGCTGCTTGCATCCCTAAAGGTAAACAGAAAAAACTCACTAAGCAAATATTTGTTCTTTATAAATTATTTTGACACAAGTCTCCACTCCTCCTGGGCAATATAATTTTTTTAACAAAAAGTGTATCACAAATAGATTAAAGACAAAAAATAATAATCTTTTAAAAGTTTAGAGGAATTTCATCAAATTTAAAATTTTTCAACAGCTGAATGGAACAAAAAAGTTTTGGCCGCTTGCTTAAAATGAAGCAAAGATGGAGCCCAATCTACCATCCTTAGGAAAGAGATTGAAAAGTAACAGTGCTGAAACAGAAAAGTCCTTGCAGAAAAGGTCCAATAATGTAGTTTTTCTTGGTGGTGAAACACAAGAAAGAAGAACCTCTGAGCCACAGGCAAAGGCACACAAGCGGGAGTGTTTCTGATATATCAGCCCTGAATAATTTAGGGCTTTTTATAGGTAAGTATCAGCAAGTTGAATTGCTCCTGGAAACACAATGGAAACCAGTACAGTTCACACTGACTAGTAAGAACATATATCAGACTGCAGTGTGGCCTGGCATATTTTATACTTCTTGGAATTTCTAAAAACTCTTTATTGGCAAATAGTGTGTTGCAAAACATCAAAGCAAGATTAACATATGGACCATGGCGCCAGATCTGCCTTATCCAGGAAGGGTTGCAACTGGCACCCCAAATACAGCTGTGTCCCTGGACACAAAGACCCCCTCCACGAGCAATGCCAATTTCAGAAGTGGCCACAAGCTTCAGAACCTGATTCTTTCAAGAGGGTGCAATCCCATCTGGAACAGGTTTTAAAAGTCTTTGCTTTTTAAAAATGTGCATACCTTTGTTAAAAATATGAAGGAATCAGTTTTGGGGTATATGAGAAGGGTAAATTACCATCCTTGGAGCTAACAGCCAGCTATTAAGAAGGGTGCAAAAACAACTAGCAGATGACTTCACTGGATAATCTTGAAGGGAGAACCAATTTTTTTCCAGAAGAAGCCAAACACATGACAGTGACACCCACAGAACAGAAGATGAGCTAAGATGAAGATGAGGCCAGCTGCTTTTCAGTAATTTTCAGTACTCATGGGACAGGGGAGGAGACATGTGGAACAAGAGAACAGAAAAGGGTGAGAGATTTTGCTTCAAGGGTGAAAATCCTGATACCACCTTTAGGCAAAAGCTCCATGATATATCTGAAGAAGGCACAAACAATGCTTAAAATTTAGGAAGTCAGAGAGGCCAGGAATTAAACCAGCAAAACCCCAGCTTTCATCTTGGAGGCTTTCATTCCAGCACCCAATGTGCAAATTATAATTTATTTATTTTCCTAAAAGGTGATGAGACACATGCTGGAAAATACATTTAACCAATAGTTATGGATTTCAGATAAAAGTTGTATAAACAGTTGTAAGTTCAGGCTAGTTGTAAAGATTCAGTTCTGGCAAACCCAGCCCAAGGCCTGTTCCTACTGCATGATATTGAAACAGAGTAGAAAGTTTCCCGCTTGAAGCTCCAGACGAGAAGGAATTTTCATGCGATGATGAGGAACAAGCAGATGACTGTGGTACAGCATGCACGGCTAATGCTTGAGGATGAAGGAAAAGAGAGAGAGAAAGAGAGCGCACAAGCAGAGAAGAGACAACCAGAAATGCAGAAATTTCCCCCCACTCACTTGTGATATCATAAACAACAACTGCAACAGTGGAGTCACGAATGTAGCTAGGAATCAAGCTCCTGAACCGCTCTTGACCTGCTGTGTCCCACAATTGCAACCGTACCTAACGGAAATTGGTCAAAACAAGCAAGAAAAAAACAAAGAGTCAAAGCCAGAGCAAATATACCTACTTGTGATATCGTAAACTACTACAGCAGCAGCAGAGTCACGGATGTAACTGGGAATGAGGCTACGAAAACGTTCCTGACCCGCAGTATCCCAGAGCTGCAACCTGATCTGTGGGATGGGAGAAAATTAAAGAAAAAGCCAAACTGCCACTAAAAATGAATAAAATTTGATTGCTTTTTTAAAATAAAAAAGCAAAGTAAAAATATATATATATTGAAAAACTCATGCAGGGTGGGGTTTGCTTTGAGGCTGCAAGCAGAAGCAGACTACTAGGAGTGTCTGACGCAGCATCCTTCTCTTTTGGATGGCAATACAAACATGCCAGCCCTAAATTCCCTAAAGGCACCAGATCATGTCTGAATTCACAAGGTAAGCATGGTCAGCTCTGGATGGGAGACTACCAATGAATATCAGGTGCTGCAGACTACATTTCAGAGGAAGGAACTGGCAAAACCATCTCTAGGCATTTCTTTCCTAAGAAAACCCTATGAAATTCATGGGGTCTCCATAAGTTAATAGGTGACTTGAACGCATACGCACACACTCTCTCTTGCCAGGCAGAGGGTAATGCCAATTTGGGAGTTTTACTTTGCAAGCACTATTTGACATACAGTGTGCCTGTGCCATATGTGGACTCGCCATACACAGACTCAAGGTCACGAAGTCAGAAAGCCCTGCCCCTCTTAATGGTGTGTGTGCCTGTGGCACACGTGCAGCATGACACACAGGAGCACACCGCCATTAAAATCAATGGGACGAGGTCCTGCAGTATTTCCCTTACATGGGTGTGTGTGTGT